GGTATGACTAATTATCATGCATTTGTAATTCCGTAAATATCCCCAGTTGCGTTTATGACAAAAGCAAGTTATTCAGTATAACTTGTAGCGTTGGAGAAAAAGAACAGAGATATTGTATTTTCTATCAAAGTATGAATGATTATCAATCATCAATATTTAATATCAGAGAGAATTTTCTGGCGATTCGAGAGCTTTAGACTACCATCAGACAAGACCTTCAAAGGAAATTAAAATAATACTGCAAAAAACGGAGACAGATGTTGAAGAAAGGAATTGAGGTTACGTGGCCATGAACTACGTGTTTCGCGAACATGTTTAACTAATGCTTCTGAGATGTCAGCCTTGGTAGTGCGTGTCGAGCGAGTCGGTACGTGAGTTTGGAAGTTCTGCCTTACATCATCGTGACATAAATACGTCGCTTACGTAGGGGAACAGCAATGAATAAGGGCGCGGCATCTAGGTATAGCACCATGTCACACATGCTCCGTAAGCACTGAGATGCTTGCTTGTGTTGTATTAGATTGAGCCTTTCTGCCAGTCACTTTGCAATTGCGCTTTAGAGTGAAGTGCACGTATATCTTACAACATAACCACTAGGAATCGGACATAACATAAGAGAGTATTTTAGAGAGCAAAATAATTATGAAAAAAGGCTAAACGTTAGATTTATTGAAGCTTCTTTTTTGATCTAAAATAACACCTAAACATTATTGAAATGCTGCATTTTCTTTCAACACCATCAACCTCAATTCAATATTTGATAACCGTAAAAATTAGGACTTTCCAAAGAAAATCATTGAAACATTGAAACTATGTCATAGTGGAAAATGTTGTCCCTCCGTCGTCTTCTTTTTTCAAGTCTATCCCCATAGTTTTTAAAACATCTGTTCATGAATTGTCAAGCATATATTTCCATATTCAGTCAGACTAGAACGGGCGACGTTGTTTTTTCCTCACTAACCCAACACTGACAATTTTCTAGTAGTTTTCCTCTCTAAGGCATATAGTTACGGTGTGTACTGATCTGTCAAAATCAACGCAAGTAGGCGTCAGTAAAGAAAGCGAGTAAGAGAGACTTTTTTCAATTCGTTTGCTGTAATGATCTTTTTTTGATGAATCGTCATCACCCTCCTTTCTCAATGCACTTTTCGAGAACAAAACCAAGAACAATTTTGGATTTTCAAACGTTGTATGGCAGTATTCAAAGAGATTTTTGTAAATATTGCAAACATCGCAAACATAGCAAATTACAAATGCTTTAAATTTTATCTTGAATCAACAAAAGCGGAGTATCAAAAGCATCCTACTACGGGACATCTTACTGTGTGAACCTAATGAGATGCTGGGCTTGGTAGTGTCTGTCGGGTTAATTAGGCTCCTCAGCTTGGTTGACAATGACCAGGTAGTGCAGCCAGTAAAATATATTGAACACTACGTAAAAAAGGGGAAATACAATGCGACTGTAGCTGTCGACCTTGGACTGTGTGAGCCCACGGCCGCCTTTGCTAGTCTTTTTTGCATTCGTATGTTCAGTGTTTATGCCAAGGCAGGACTTCACTTCATTGTCTGACGGTCTTCCGGGCCCGTCGGAGCACCCCACATCAGAGTGTCCTGTCTGATAGGCTGGAGGCTGTTGCTCTACTTCCACCTTAACAGTCCGACAAACATCAATCCGTCCGCTAGCCGCCCGCTTCCGTCGCAGAAGCGTGATCGCCAACGCGTACTCTACCACCACACACATCACAAAGACGACGGAAAACAGGAACCAAACATCGAGAGCCTTTATATAGGAGGCCCTTGGCAGGCTTGTTGCCATGTAAGAGGCCTGGGTTAGAAGAGCAAGGAGACTAAGCAGACCCACAGAAACCCGTGCTGCAGCTGCGTCCACACTTATCCAAAAGCTCAGGAAAGAGACCATGACGATGAGGATGTTTGGGATGTAAATAGTGAGGAGATATGATCCCAGCTGTCGTTTGAAACTAAATGTGACCGTCAGGCAGGTATAAGAGGCCGTAGTGGTGCTGATGGCTGAGTTGCAGTCAAGTGCTGCAAAATGTGTCGGTGTGTAGAACTGTGGAATTTGTAGCTTTTGCCACCCTTCCACAGGTATCATTTCACGCCAAACCAACTTTAGTTCACTTAAAGTGTATGCCAAACTGCCCATATTGATTTCACATGTTTGTGTGTCCATAGGATAGGCGTGCAGATCCATCTGACAGGCAAATCGCATGGTAATCTTTTGGCTGTAAAGAACACCGCCATCGGGATAGATGCGGAGAAGATAATTGGGAAGGGTCATTTTGTGCACGTAGCCATCTTTACCGTTCCGGAAGAAAAGATCAGGTAACCACATCATTACCTTCAGCCTCATGGATGTCAATGGTTGTGTGTAGTTTTTGAAGCCTTCGGTGGTATTCCAAGCCAGCCGAGGGTCCACCCAGGTTTGACGAAACCACGCGTCCATGTAATAATCCATAGTGCTCGCATCAACTGAATAGATAGCCAAAACCTTCATATGCACCTTCACTACAGTTTGCGTTCGCAGCATCTCCGTGGGTCGCTCCTCGGTCTTATAATTAGAAAAAAGCTCCTCCAGCAGTAGTTCTCTCTGCGTTTTCGTTGGTTGTGACTTTACTTTCGCCAAAGGCCTCATGTAGCCAGCGTGTGACGCCATCTTGTCGCGCGGAGAATACTCACAGGGCCTTCCAGACTCTCTTACTTCAGGTGCATTGTAATTGCTGTGCAGATTCTTCTTGGAACCAACACTCAAAATCGCAACCCCTTCATCTTCGGCTCCCATTCCTCCTGTCCTTGAATAGTTCGGCGTAATTTCAGGTTCAATACCTCTTCTTCGATGGTTGAAAGCTGGTTCATTTACGGAATATTGAATAGAGTAAGTGTTCAGAGGAAACTGTAAATGCAAAAATAGGAGAAGGGCCGTGAAGTAGCGAGATAGGATATCGCAGCGAATTGAGACACAACTGCGCATTCTGTGACTGCAAATAGACCGTTCCTTACCGAACCGTCTCCTTGATAAAATGCCGCGGTGGAATCTACATGCACGCAGCCCTATCCTGACGGGCCCTGTATTCACATCCATCTGTTTACGCTATCTCGGCTTTTTAATACTAGAACGGCCTGCTAGGCTAAAAACTGCAAGGCAGGGTGTCTGCGAAGGCGTATGCACTACAATTTCGAGCTTTTTGGTAGTAGTAGTTGTTGTTATTATTAACTTTATGGACAATTTAATGGAGGAAACGGGGCAGGCAGGTACCAAGATGTATGCCAGACGAACGTGCCTGACGACATCGTGCTGTGTAACTAGAGCTAGTGGAGTCCAGTTGAAGAACAACTTGGAAAAATTACGAAATGATTGACGGTGGAGTTTGAGGGACGGTAGTACATGTCACCTGTGCGCCTTGTCCACACACATAACTAGACCCAGATCACCTGCTTCAGAACTGCCCTCCTATCACTCTTCTTTATTGCTCAACAAAACAGCCGCCCCTCGCCCCCGATTTGTTTTGGCGGTCTGCTACCAGGGTTGGTTGCGTGTTTACCTTAAACATGTTGGTTCTGTCAGGGATTTTATAAGTAATTGGACTTGACTGCTTGGCTGACGGTGTCATACATATTCACGGATGTGAATATGTGAATTAGTCGAAATGTCAGATAACGAATAAACCTCTCCTGCTGAACATTGTTTCCTCTTCTGAGTTACTACCTGGTAATCGCATTTTCACTACTATGTATGCATGTAGATCAGAGTGGGTATGCATTCCGAGCGATATAATGAAGATATATATGAATAGGGAATTTGGCATCGCAGTAAGTTTAATTCGAAGGCATATAAGTTGCTTCGGAAAGTCGGCAAAATGTATTTCGTATTTTTTTTTACGGTGGATTCCCAGATCATCAACGGATATGCTGAAAAAGGGTCACTTTTGATATGCCCAAAAAGTCCATAATGTGCTTTACTTCAAACCAATAAACCTTTTTTTGTGGGCTGCCGTTTCGTCCAGATTGCCTACTGCCCTTCCGATTTCCTTTGGAATATTATACACACCATCTAATTTGCAATACAGGTTAATGTACCAGTCATCGGAATGTATAGGTTCCGGAAATTTGCGCCCTTACTTACATGAACAAAGGAAGGATGGAGTTCCCTTCAATACTTGGTAGTGTTGCTGTGCAAACAGCAATTTTGCTTTCAGACACGGATCAGGCAAGACAGGTGCAGTAGCATCCGTGCTGTAGGAATGGATGACTTCTTCCGTGCACAAACTTGCAAAATCAAATGGTATGCACTCGAACGGAACCGAGGCCTCAAATGTACCATTATCGTGTCCGTGGCAATTATGAGTTCGCGTAATGTCATGGATCTCTGACTTTAACCTTTATTTCTAGTTTCGGTGAATGGAGTTCATAAAATAACCATCTAAGAATATTCTAGTTTGGTGCCTTACATAACGATACAAGTTGCAGCAGCGTATTTTGTGTTTTTGAACGTTTGCCTGTCCATGTGTCCTAACGATGTTAGATTATGCTTGGGTTTATTACTTGAATGCACGTTAGCAACTAATCTAAAGAGGATGTATGTGTTTTCGTGGAGTGCGGGCGGAAAGGCTACTAGGTCACGCTATTTTCTTGCATTGACATCAGCGTTGTTCGCTTTAGTAAACATCGTAGAAGAGCTTTTTTGCAAACAGGAAGTATGCTACTACTAATCAGACTTTAGGATCCTTAACCCTTACCTTTCCTCCTATGAAAGTACACAAAAAAGATTTGGTTTAATCGTGGTTACTGGGGATTACAACGCATGATAGGATGGACTCTAAGGTCGAAAAATATATAGGTATATGGCATTTGAAAGATTCTATTTATCCTCCTCTAAAGAAAGTAGTTTCCGTTAACTGAGGGTTTACTGGCAGGCCAGACGTAAAAGTAATTTATAAAGGGCGTTTATAATTCAAGTTTTTTGTATATTTACTGCCAAATACGGTTTATTGACGTTCCAAAAGAGAACATTTGTCTTTCGTTTATACAGAGAGTGCATGAAGGAGAAAAAAAAAGTATAAACAGGAACAATGGAAAACGGGATGACCATTTCTTGTCTATTTTCCCTAATCGATCAGACGTACTCGAACCCACCACTTAATATCAAGTAGTTAAATGCGTATTTCCTTATCAAAATCTTTTCAGTAAACTAACAATCTACTAATGCATCATGAGCGTGTCATTTTATAGGTTTGTGGCCGATAATGTTACCTGTGGTGAAGGAACGTCAAACGATCTCGCTGAGGTGGGCATTAAGAAATGAGAACGGAAGCATGGCTTTCTTGGATATAACACGCCCAGTAGCCAAATTCTCCGTCCTTGGGCATGCGACGTTTGAGTTGAATGTGGCTATCTAATGTTTGCTAATAAAACACATCTGGGTGCAGAAGTGCCGCTCGTTCTCGTCAAGACTCCCTCCTTCGTCTATATTTAGTCGCCATGCGACTGCCTATAGGGACTCGTAATGGAGCTCCAGGACTCGATCACATAAGCTCAGCCCGCTGCCCGATTGGTGAGTGACGAAGGTTATCCCAATCGCAAACGATAGAACAGTGGTTATGTGGCTCTTTTGGTAGAGCTCTGGACTTATTAACGCTAGATGGAGAAGGAACACGAGTCTAGGAATCCAGTACCAAACTCTGTTGCCAATAGAGGTGAATATGCGAGTTCCAGGAAGCAGTTCAGAAAACGATGCGACCACTGGACCAAGAGTTTCATTGTCTTGACGTTTCGAATTCCGTCGGGAATCCTTAATCATAGGTATTGGTATCATAGTCATAGTAATGCACAGAACCTTATCTGCGCATGACTATGACTCTGATACCATTACTTACTATTAAGGATTCCCGACGGAATCCAAAACGTCAGGACAATAAAACCCTTGTTCTAGTGGTCGCACCTTCTTTTTCTGACCAAAAACTATCTTGACTAAGGTATTGTTCGCTGACGACACTTAAAATTTCGGAAAATGTCATCCCAGTATCCACTTCTAATTTTTATGTGGCTGTCAGGAAGGGCCCTAGACCGAGTTCCGAATCTCCACATTATGAGAACCTCCATTACCTGATCTTTGATCGTCCTTCCCGTGATAGTCACGGGTGGGGAAGGTCGGTATGAAATGCACTTCCCCTGTTATATTAATGGTGACAAACGTATTTGGACATTACTTTATCACATTGTTACTTTTCTCCTTTTCAGTAGGCATGCTGGTTTTCGTGAAAATGTCAGTGAATGCTAACAACTGCCAAAGAGGCTGCCATCAAATTAACCATGTCAGTCTTGATCAAGCTTGCCGCTGTTGTATAAACGTGTACTATTCAAGAACTGCCATGAGGCATTCAGTAGTATAAGATGCTGAATTATTGACCGCGGGTACTGGCTAGAAGCCCGGACAGGTGTTTCGCTGGCATTCTACGGTTGCATGACACAGCTGCGAGGGGTTCGGTTTATTAGTGGGTCGCTTAGTATTTTCGGTGTGCTTTTTGTTATATAATCTAGTTTTCGAAAAGGAAGCTTTTTTAAAATTTGGCCAGAAATCAATTTCTAACCCGAAGTAGATTAGTGTATCTAAGTGTAGGTCTACCATAAAAGAAAACAAGGAATGCTGGGGGACCCACCGATGAGCCCGATCCCTCAAGCTGTCCCATCCAGCTATGGTCAAGAATTCTGGAGGCAAACCGTAACCAAGGAGGTGGTCAGACAAACGCGTTTTGTTCGTCCTGCATAAAGAAACGCAATGCAACTCAGAACTTGCTACTTGTCCACGTGTTACATATTCGGTTTATTTCTCAACAACTAAGATGACATAGGTAAAAGTTAAAATTGGTCGCCCATTTTAGATACTTTTAACTCCTGAATTCTGTCTTAAGGGACCGCTGTTGTTACTTCAGTTTTTAGGTTATTGTTTAGTTTACTAGTCCAAGTTTACTAGTTCAATAATGAACTAAAACCTATGTTAACCTAGAATTAATAAAATTAAAAGTAACCATATAACTAGGGGCTTTGGAGATTAACTTACTGTTTACTAACATACGTCCAAAAAACTTTCGCAAGTTTACTTCCAATAAGTTCTTATTCATATGCGAACGGGGTTCAATAGAACATGTCAGTACCAACATTTCTTATTAACACGCAAACGAGGTGGGGGAATTTGAGAGCGAAGGTAAAAAGCAACAGTAATTTCTTAGGCAGTGGAGTTATGACGAAGTGTACCAAGGAACGCGTCAGCGAGGAGACTTGTTTCACAATTCTAAAACGAAAAATAATTATTTGAGAAACAGAGTTTGCCAGCAGCTAGATGAACATGAAGTGATCCGAACGCAAGTAGGCGTTGCGCTCAGTTCCAGGTCAGAGTTGTATTTGGGGTACTAAATAAGATTTATTTTGCCCTATATCCTGGCGGATAGAGGCAAGTTAGCACTTCCTACCCAGTGTCGGATTTCAGCAACATCAAAGAAAGCAAATGCATACAATGAGGCTGTGTTATTTTACGTTACTTTACGTCTTCCAGTTAATTTATTCTTGCCATTTCTGGCTTATAGCACACTGTCGGCCTACTGGGCATCTATAAGCATTTAAAACAAAACATTCACTTTTGTTGCAAAAATAGAAGCTCAAATCTCATGGCGTGAGCCTCTTATATACATTGAGATGAAGTCAAATCTTTGAGTCAGTGAATGCGTTTTTAGTGCTCCTGAGCCGTCTGTGTTAGTATCCATCTGAACGAATAAAAGATGCTAGTTTTCTCGAATATTGGTACCAGTCTAAATCGGTCAGAACTTTGTTCGTTTCTGCTTGGACTTCGATGAAAGAATATACCTAAAAATAGATAGTATAGTGATATTGCTATTTTGGATTCGAAATGTCCATTGAAAATTTCGGTGCTGGACAACTCAGGATTCGCATCCGTCCTTCTTGCTCATTGGTTTTAGG